CTAGGGTCAGACGGAAGGGGAGGAAGACCTCCCCTATAAGTGGACTTAGAGAGGGACAAGGAGGAGATGAGGGAGGGAGGGTGGGATTGGGAGAGAATGAGGGAGAGGGCTACAGCTGGGACACAAAGTAAATAAACTGTAATTAATATTAAAAGATAAAAAATGATATAAAAAAAAGAAACATAAAACCTGAAGAGTTCAAATATACTGGTGAGAACTGACGTAAAGTTTTACTGACCAAATTCTTTTCAAAAATAAAAATTTGGGGCAGATAAATACTTTACATCAACTATGAAGGTTTGAATAGGATTCCATTTAGTAAGGTGGCATCATTTTTTCTTTATCTTAAGTGTTAATAACAAGGCTTTTTGTGATATGTATGTTCACACATGTAAACATATGTGCAAAACAGAAATGTCAGCATAGCTATAGATACATACTGAAATATCACCTATTAGGGAGTCTTTGTGAAGGATGGCCATTTAAACATTCTCTAGACTTTTTTACATGGATGTTGATTGTATCCCATGGACATTTGGAGGCTGAAAGCTATCTCAGAAATAATCAGTGTCCATCCTCCAGAAGCATTTTCATGGTTTGTGGCCAGAAGGAGCAGCAACTGATCTTGACTAAATGGAAATGGCCTTATTGGGAGAATATTTGGTAACTAGTTAGGTGGAAATTTATTTTTGACCCAGGAGGTGCTCTCACTCGCATGGTGAGAGTCACCAACATGCAAAGGTGGCATCTCTTTTCAAGAAGGGTTTCCTTCCAGCCTCCAGCCTCTCAGGCTTCCCTAATACTGCCCCTGGGTTGCCAATCACATGTACCCTGATTCCCCAAACTCCAGTTAACCATTTTTTTAACCATTTGTTTTCTCGCTTTAGAAAACGACTCATTATCATTCTAAATAACTAGTTGTCATCCTACCTGCTACTTCACTGTGACATCCAGTCAGCAGGCCACCCAGATGTCATCATCTAGACCCAGATTTCTGCCCCACCTCTGCCCTGCTTCCAGGCCCACAGGCTTTCTCATTCAGGACCAGCAGTCTTCCTGTCTCCTCCCTGCTTCTGGGCTCGTCCTCCTCCTTCCCTTCACTTGGATCAAGGGTGAAGTTCAGAGTCACAAACCAAGGCTGCTAAATTGAAAGTCTTTATCTTTATATAACCTCATTTTAATCCCTGGCCCTCAGCCTTAATCCTCTCTAGTTTCAAAGCATAATCTTGTCACTCAGCTAAAGCCAGAGCAGAGTGATCTTTCAGATTACTCAAAATTCAAGAGCTGCTTCCCCTTGCTCTATGCCCCTGTAATGGAAAACAAAACAAAACAAAAACATTGCCCTGTAAGAGCCAGAATTACTGGACCCAGCAAACAAAAGTATCTGAAAGTTCAATTTTAGTTTCAAAAAGTCAGAAACACATCTTTAATGTAAGCATATCTGATGTGGCATCTAGGACATGCTAATGGCCTTTTCAAAGATCACGCATTGCTTGTCTGCCATCAGTTGTAACTGGATCTCACCTGGCTGCCTGGGCGCGGGAGGGACAGAGCATGATAGCATGGCCTTCCGGGCCTCGAGCAAGGACATTGTGGCTATCCTTGCACTTCACCACCCAGTCGCCATTCTCCCTTTCTTGGGCAAGATGCCAGGCAGTAGCAGAGTTCGACTGCTCGCACCATAGCAGGGGCACGCTGGACACAGTTCTAACCAATGAGGCTAAACGGCGATCTGCTCCTTACAGGAGTGGCTTTGTTTTCTCCACAGATAAAGGCAGAGCTCTGACACCCCCACATTCTCCTCTCTTCTCATCTTAAAAGTAAGAGTGAACAGGATGTCTAGGGTTGTAGCAGCCTGATGGATATCAGCAAGAGACAAAGAACAAGATAATCCCGGAGATGTCAGCATTGAGTCTGCAAGGCCACTCAAAAGGAACTCTGGGGCTATGTGGCATTAGCGAAATCTAGAAGCTTTGATTTTCTAAGACACTGGAAGGCAGAGTCTCCCACTGAATGCGTTCCTGAACTCTGAAGTCCTGAAGAGGTGACTGTCTCTTTGCAAAGGTACTCAACTTTGCCATCAGCTCTGCAGATGAGCTGGCCTGAGCTGCCAGATCTCTCTAACGTCATTGTGTCATGTCTTCCCTCACCAGCAGCCTACAAACAGCCGTTCTGCACACAGACCTTGCCCCTTCTTGAAAACAGGGTGGCAGGAATGGTGGCCCGGCCAACAGAAGCCCTGGGATGCGCCGGCGCTCCTCCCGGGTATTGTAGGTCCTTGCGGAACTGAGGGGCCAGCTGCCTTCTGCTTAGAGCTTCGTGGCAGTTAGCTGTTTCCTTAAGCTCCGTGCTCACGGAGGTGAGCAAGGAGATGATCGTCAGCCTCCTACCTCCAAGCACCTCAGAAGAGAGAAGGGTGCAGCTGCCCCCCGCCAGGTTCTACTGCATGTTCCAGGAGGTCGAGTTCCATTTCCAGATCTTGTAGTGTTTGAGGGAGAGAGGGGAGAGAATGGGGACCCATCCCGTTCACAGTCTTACCCCTGACTCCTCCATCCTGTACCCTTCCGCTGGAGGACGTGCCGGGAAAAAGAAACCCGGCGTTCCTCCTCTCCGCCCAAGTTGGGTATCGTTTAATCTCCTGTAGTCACACAGCTGCTCCTGGTCTTTTGGTGTAGGGAGATGTTTTCCTTATTCTCTTTCTCAGCTATGTCTGCAACAGTCCGGCCGTCGGGCGGGGTAGGGCGAAGCTCAAGCTCTGAGTCAAAGGCCGCTGTGTGGATGGGGCGGTGCAGTGGCAGAGCGCTAGTCTAGCGTGCTCAAGAACCCCAGGTCCCACCGCAGCGCCGCCATGACACTAAAACCTGCAGGAGCACCCTGTTCACACAGCCCAGCCCCGCAGCAGCTAGCCCCATCGCTCCTGGCGTGGAGCCCAGGCTTGACCATTGCCTTAGCGACTTCATCGCCTCGCACGCTTTGTTGCCTCCATCCCTAAGCAGGCCCACCACAGAAGAAGCTCTTGGTCGGCGGGGCCTGCGCAGCTGGACTCTGTTTTGTTTCTCAACAGCCGTAGTTGAATCTAACATACGGCTACGGGACGAGAACCAAGTACTACAGGATTCGTATTTCCCAGAGTATTTGCACATACTTCATCTCATGGGCTCCTAGAGGGGTCCGGAAGTGCAGTTAGGACTGACATTAATACAGGCTTTTACGCAGGGAAGGAAATGGAAGGCAGAGTGGTCAGACAAATCCCACTGACACTCAACTCTGCATTGCCAGTTGTGTCCCATTTGGTCAACTGTTCTAAACACTGAAGTGTCTCCTTTAAAAAAAAAAAAAAAAAAAAAAAAAAGCATCAAGTGTTAACATAAAACTGTATCTTACAGTGACTGCCACACAGTCGTTCTTCATAAACACATGGCTTTCTTTGTCCTTCTCTTTCCTTTCCTTTTTCCTCTCTACATAGCTCTGGCTAGCCTGGAACTCTGTATGTAGATCGAGCTGGCCCTGAACTCACAGAGATCCATCTGCCTCTGCCTCCCGAGTGCTGGGGAGGCAGCTGTTCCTACTTAGCTGTTGTCTGTGTCCTCCCCGAGCAGCTGTACAGATTTCTCAAGAGCACTGAATCTGTTTTGGTTGGGAACAGTATGGAGAACAGGGAGGATGTGGAGTCTACTCAGTTCTTGGGCTCCGTAGTTAGACTGCTTGTTGTGCAAGCTTGAGGACTGAAGGTCAGGTCCCTAGAACCCACATAAATGCCAAGGAATGTCTCTGCCTGCCTTTAACTGTAGCTCAGAGGGGGGTTTCCAGGGCAAACTGGCTAGTAAAACTAGCCAGATCTGTGAAATCTACATTTAACTTAGAGGCTCTGACCCCAAGACTGAGGCTCAAGAGCATTCACCGATGGTTCCTGACATCACCGAAGGCTTTCACGTGAAGGCACGCATGCACGCATTTGTACCTACACACATGCGCAAAAAAGCATGCTCACATGCTCACAGGCACATCACACAAACCCCAGCAAATGAAAAAACTAGGTAGTCGTCATAAGGAACCCAACAGGCACCTGCTGAATAAATACTCGAGGAAGTATCCATGCTTGTGAATGATGAGCTATGTTTTGGGAGGTTTTAATTCTGTTTTCTCTTTTAAGACAGGCTTATAGCAAATGAATAGTCCTCCTGTCTCAGCTTTCCAAGTGAAGAACTAGGAAATGAATTTCTATTTGTTTATCTACATATCATTTTTTTAACTTTTATTAATTACTTTATTCACTTTGTATCCCCCATAAACCCCTCCCTCCTCCCCTCCTAATCCCACCTTTCCTCCCCCTTCTTCATGCATGCCCCTCCCCAAGTCCACTGATAGGGGAGGTCCTCCTCTCCTTCCTTCTGATCTTGGTCTATCAGATCACATCAGGAGTGGCTGCATTGCCATCCGTGGTCTGGTAAGGCTGCTCCCCCCTCAGGAGGAGTAATCAAAGAGCAGGCCAATCAGTTCTATCATTAACCAAATTTCCGAACCATTACTTCGCTTCTACCTGTGAAAAGTTACATATATCTATATACTTAGTATGGTATCTCAGTAATTGTATAAAATATTCAGTGCAGAAGCATGATTGACTGAAGTTGGCCAGGTTCCAATGATAGATAGTGAAACTACCTACTTCCGTTTTTGCCCAGCTTACTGTTTGCCTGCTGTCTTCTTGCTTGGTTGCTGAGAGGTGGGTTGGTTTGGGGTGTGGGGTGGAAAGAGCTTTTGAATAGTTAAATAACGTATTTGTCCTTTTCAGAGATGCAATTACATTAACACAGCCATGTTAGGTAAGCTCCCAGCATCCTTCGCTAAACTGAAGTTGCTTACTTTGCCACTAAACGTCTCTGATCCTTTCCCTGCTCTCACTGAGGAAGACGCGTAGGAAAGGCTGCTTTGACGGCTGGTTTTTGAGGCTAGAAACCCCTCCCTAGCCTAAAGCCGCCTGTGTTCTGCTCTGTTCCCAGGCACCGGAACTCGTACAAGATGAGCATCTGTGTGGACATGCTGCGCGATGGCTACCACAAGTCCTTCACAGAGCTCTTCGCGCTGATGGAGCAGTGGGAATTTCGGCGAAAAACTGCGGAGGCGCAGGCCATCTTCTGGTTGCAGAGGCCACTGGAGCAGCAGAGGGACAAGTTGGACAATTTCTACCACTTCCTGACTAGGGCGGAGGCCGCGGAGAGGAAAGGTAAGGTGCTGGGGTGCGGGATGCACCCCAAAGAAGATCCCAAACTGTTGCAGTGTGAATTTGACACAGTAAGACACACTGCGCAGGTCAGCCTGGTCCACAGAGCTGCCTAAAGGGTTAAGTGACGAGGCAGCAGGCTGACCACAGCAGCGTGCTGTTGGGGCTATAATTCCAGCTCTGGGACAGGGAGGCGGAGGCTGACTGAGCTTGAGGTTAACCTCAGCTACATTGTGAGACCCTTAAGAAAAGGGAAAATACCACCCAACCCATGATCATGATTTCAGTAGTTAATTTCCCATTTTCCACAAAAAAATTTAAGGCATTCTTTGGCCATATTTTAATATTTTCATAAAGTATGTTTAAAGCATTAAGTACTCAATATTTTAAAATATTTAAGAAAAACTAAGTACTTAATTGTAGCCAGCGTTAGCTGCTTTGTGTGTTCCTTTTTCCTACCCTTCTCCACTCCTTTCTTCCACCCTTTCAACCAGCTAACACTAGATAAGAGAGAAAAAATGATAGAGAGAAAACGAAAGAGATCCTTGAATAAAGTCGGGGTTCTGAAAGGGGTTGATGCTATCATTGGACCACTTCCTGCTGATTAGGGGCACTGAGTTTCTTGGAGTAAGTTTGAGCTTCACTGTCAGGACATCTAATTTCTTGTTGTTTCTTTGCTAGTAACTACTTAACAAACAGCAACAAACAACCTATCATGCCTTTCAGGACCCTAGCATTTATATCCCCTCTGAAAAGTTCCCAGAATTCCAAATGCCCCATCACAGAAACCATCCACAGCTGGCAAAACCACGTCTCTGCTAGAGCAAGAGGCAAATCAAAGTCAGCTGCTGCAAGTAATCCCATAGCCCCACAGCTGGGATTAAAAAGGAAAGACATTCTTATAATATTTCTGTTAAAAAAAAAAACACACACACACACACAGAATTCCAGAATTCTCACTATACTTAGTCTCTGATATAAATATGTGGACTTTGTCAATTAATGTTTTTAGTTCTGTATTAGGACTTTGACTTTGTCATTTAACATCTTTAGGTCCACATTAGGAATTGTTGTTTTCATTGAAAAAGACAAAAAAGAAAGCACTAGAATTTGGCATTCTAATTTTTTTCCCTCAACATTGGGACTAGAAAACACAAGAGCACTCATTAAGAAAGGCCAGCGCTGTCCATGGCCCTGTGCTCTTTCACTTGGGTCCTTTACACGGTCAGTAGGCGAGTCTTCCTATCCAGTAGCTGGCTTCTGTGGACCATGAAGACAGGAAAACAGCACACAGGGGCAGCCAAATCCTGGTTCTCAGTGTGAGTGCAGTGAGAGGGGGTCATCCATCCATGGGAAGCATTCTATACTGCAGAACTGACATGAAATAAACTTTTGATGAACTTCAGAATACGATTTAAATAAGAGAAACTAACTATTATAAATAAACCCTTATGTTACTACAAAACAAACAAAACCCAACCCCCAGATTCTACTATCAGAACAAAACTCTGAATTGATGTCTAGACTAGAAATGGAAGTAGCCAAGATAAAGTTTGCCCACTATTTATTTCATGAAGTTCAGTTTCATCACCAGCTTAAATTGCGGGCTCTTACGTGAGTACCGTAAGTGTGAGCCGTGACGTGTCACTTACCCGTCAGTCAGCCATAAAGCATCTGTGGGATGGTGACCCATAAGACGCCCAGGTTAAGGAAAGGAACACAGGGAAAGACAAGTGCCTCTCTAACGCGAGCGATCCAGCCCTAGTTAAATACTGTTCAAGCAGCACTGTGTGGTTTTGAAAGGGTTAGACCAACTTTGTAACCTGTATGTCTTCTAAAGCCTATAGTTTTGAGTTTTAGGTTCAGGTTAAGCTAAAGCCTCTTAGTACCTTTCCAGAGAATGGAGAAATGTGACCCTATCTATGAGGACAGATAGAAAAAAAGCAAGCAAGCAATGACCTTCACTCAGCAAAAAGAAGGACCAGACCCTTGTCTTCGAGATACTGTTTCTTAGCAACCAACCCAGATGGCCTCAATTCTTCTTCTGAGTAGCTCCTGACCTCCAGCCAAGAGTCTGCAGCCCTAATCTTCAAGGATGAACTAACCACCCCCACCTTCAATTGCAGCTGCATCCACACTTGGCAGGACTGGCCAAGCTTGAGCACCTAAGACTAACCAATTATCTTACTTTATAGCTTCCTCATCCAATCCTAAATTGCCAAAACAGCAACTTCAAATGTCCCGCACTTTTTCTTTTAAAAACCTAAAGCCTTTGTCTCCTGGTGCCACTCTTTGCTGACCAGCAGGGGTGACCCCATTGCGCAATGGTTAGTAAATCTCTTGCTTTTGCAACGAGTCGTGGTCTGTGGGAGTTTCTGGGAAGGACGCGATATTGAACTCCTGAGCTGTGAGACCCCAGGTCTTACAGTTTATCATGTATATGTGAGAAAAAAAAGTTGCATTTATTAAATAGGACAAAATTTCCTTTACTCAAAACAGCTCACCCATAACCCTATGGATGAGCCATATAAGATGCCATGGCTTCTGCCTTGCTGAAATATAGAAAGTTTGAATTATTGTCAAAAGTATCACATAAGCACTTATATAATCTTTTTAAGAACTTTGTGTAACTTTTTCACCATCCACACCTGAAATTTATCAGAGAAAAATTGAGATCTCAGTAAAAAATTACTCCAGAAAGTGGAATCTGCATGTCTGCTCTTACTAAACCCTAAATCTGGAAACACATGTGCATGTTTTATGATGTGCATGTGTGCATGTAGCGTGCAGAGATCTGTCAGGGATCTCAAGGTTCCACTGCATGTGGTCTTGGGAAGCGAGAAGGCGATCCTGAAGTAATGTGTGTCAGGTTCTCATCGCTTCCTCAGAAAGACCATCCAGCTAGGGCCATAGTGAAGTTCATTTCATCAGAGCAACATCAGTGGTCATCCCTGTCAGTTCTGCCTCATCTGTGGCACAACAGTAGTTGTCTGCATAAGTTTAGCCTCGATGTGGAGAGCAGTAACGTTAGAGTAATTTAAACCCCCACCCCCACTCGCTGCTTTATAGCAAAGTTGTTTAAAGCAATCTAGTCATTATCTTTGGATCATCTCCCACTGGTTAAAGCCCCTGAATCGGACACAGCTCTCACATTCCTCAGTGTGAATCCTTTCGTGCCACCTGTAATGTTATTCTTAGTGTCTTGAGCCCCGTGAGGCTGAGGAAAAAGTGGCAATGATGAGAACAGCAAACTGAAGATAGAGATAATTCAGTGTCTTACCCTTGACTTGTGAATTTTGGTGAGGGTTGAGTAGCTGCTCCTCCTGGTGACATTTGTTTGATACATGCAAAATCTGTTGGACCCAAGTGCACTTTCACATGATATGGGTTTTAGGCAAAGTATGAAACATGGAGAAAGATCGTCCAGTTAAATAAGTTTGGAAGACTCCATGTTCGCTGGCACCAGGCTGGAGCACTCTGACCCTGCCGCACTTATCAGAGCACTGTGTCTGTATACTGTGTCATTTCACTACGTGGAGAAAATTAGCAAGAGTATTTCTCAAACTGACTTCACCAGGGAATCTCCTCTTTAAGGTAGAGACCGTAGCACCTGAATAACAAACCCACGGTGAACGTTCATCTTTTGATGATGCCTGCTGGTGATTCACCACAGGAGAGCAGGGTGTTTAGAATGTGAAGAATTCAGATGTGGTTACAAAAAAAAAAAAAAATAGTTCAACTGATAGGCAATCTTTAAATAAGAAATCCTGGGAAAGTACCTAATTACAACTCATTACTTTAAAAAAAAATTCTGTGTATATAATGACAAGGCTATTAAATTACAGCTCCATTCACTAAAACACAGATATTTCCATACACATTTGTAAAAAGGAAAGGAGATCTTTTACCCACTGGCATATGCACACAGGAACTCCACTCAGTAATAGGTGTGTCTCGGTGTGTTTTGGAAAGTACTTTCTAACACACCTACTCTCCTACAGGGAAGAGCATCGCTAACAGATACTGTCTGCTTCTGTTGAATAACCAAGCCCTACTTCAACCAAACATGTCTCCACTTCGACTGTGTCTGCGTTTTTGGAAAGCATTCATTGCTTGTCTCATGCACACATCCTTTGATTATTGTGATGATTTTAGTCATTACAATAAATGGGTGTTTTGCGTTAGATTTAACTTTCAAGACAGTTGGTCATGCATCTAAGAACAGTATAGAAGTAGGTCTCAGCCTCACGTTAATGTGTCCTTGGCCGTGTTTCTGGCGCACTGATATGCGTTCTTCTCTTCTTTGTAAAGAATACTATGATGATGTGTATGACAATCTATACGCTCTGGCCTGCTACTTCGACAATGCTGAGGACAAGTGGGTGAGAAATCACTTCTATGAACGCTGTTTTAACATTGCTCAGCTCATCAAATTCGATGGTGGGAAGAAGGAAGCAGAGGCACAGGCACATATGGGCCTACTTTTTGAAGAAGAAGGTGAGTGGGCATTCTCTGGAGATGTTTTGGGGTGCCCTGAGACCAAAACCAAGGTGAAAGTTAAGAAAAGGACCTGAATGTAAGGAGGCAAATTGTTGCAGTCAACAAGCAAAAGCAAGTGCCCAAATGAGTCAGCTTCAGTGTTTCTTGAAGAATACTCCTTGTACAATTCTTTCCTGGCCCCCGCAGGAGCAGCTAGCCCAGAACAGCCAGTGTAGTTTCCTTTATCATTCCCTCCTGGGTCACATGGTGCATCATTTTAAAATTTATTTTTAAATGTTTTCATTTATTACAATTTATTCACTTTGTATCCCAGCTGTAGCCCCCTCCCTCATCGCTCCCAATCCTGTCCTCCCTTCCTCTTCTCCTCCCATGTCCCTCCCCCAGTCCACTGACAGGGGAGGTCCTCCTCCCCTTCCCTCTGACCCCAGCCTATCAGGTCTCATCAGGACTGGCTGCATTGCCTTCCTCTGTGGTCTGTCAAGGCTGCTTCCTCCCTCCCCCAGGGGAAGGTGATCAAAGAGCAGGCCACTGAGTTCATGCCAGAGACAGTCCCTGTTCCCCTTACTTGGGGATCCACTTGGACACTGAGCTGTCATGGTCTACATCTATAGGTTCTAGGTTATCTCCATGAATGATCCTTGGTTGGAGGACGTTGGTTGGTCTCAGTCTCAGAAAAGACTCCTGGGCCCAGATTTTTGGTTCTGTTGCTCTCCTTGTGGAGCTCCAGACCCTTCTAGACCAGACCAGACCTAGGTCTCTTTATCTCCCCCTTCTTTCAGAAGATTCCCTGCACTCTGCCCAAAGATGGGTTATGAGTCTCAGCATCTACTTCAATACCCTGATCAGTAGAGTCTTTCAGAGGCCCTCTGTGGTCGGCTCCTGTCTTGTTCCTTGTTTCATCTTCTGCCCATGTCTATTCCATTTGCCTTTCTGACCGAGGATTGAGCATCTTACCCAGGGTCCTCCTTCTTGCTTAGCTTCTTTAGGTGTACAGATTTCAGTATGATTATCCTAATATCCACTTATAAGTGAGTATATATACCATGCGTGTCTTTCTGCTTCTGGGATACATCACTCAGGATTATCTTTTCTAGATCCCACCATTTGCCTGCAAATTTCATGAGTTCCTTGTCTTTAATTGCTGAGTATTATTCCATTGTATAAATGTATCACAATTTCTGTATCCATTCCTCAGTTGAAGAACATCTGGGTTGTTTCCAGATTTTGGCTATTATGAATAGAGCTGCTAGGACCATGATTGAGCAAATGCCCTTGTTGTATACTTGGGCATATTTTGGATATATGCCTAGGAGTGGTATAGCTGGATCTTGAGGTAGCACTATTCCTAATTGTCTGAGAAAGTGCCAGATTGATTTCCAAAGTGGTTGTACAAGTTTACATTCCCACCAGCAATGGAGGAGGGTTCCCCTTTTTCTACATCCTCTTCAGCATGTGTTTTTGAGTTTTTTATCTTAGCCATTCTGATGGGTGTAAGGTGAAATCTCAGGGTTGTTTTAATTTGCATTTCCTTTATGACTAAGGATGTTGAGCATTTCTTTAAGTGTTTCTCTGTCATTTGATATTCCTCTATTGAGAATTCTCTGTTTAGCTCTGTACTCCATTTTTTAAATTGGATTACCTGATTTGTTGCTGTTTAACTTCTTGAATTCTTTATATATTCTAGCTATTACCCCTCTGTCAGATATAAGGTTGGTGAAGATCATTTCCCAATCTGTAGGTTGTCATTTTGTTCTGATGACAGTGTCCTTCTCTTTACAGAAGCTTTTCAGTTTCATCAGGTCCCATCATTTTTATATGTGTGGTGTGTTGGTGTCGTTGTTGTTGTCGTAGATGCCCTCTTTGTCTGTTTTGCAATAGAATTTTCCCTTACAGAACTGCTTGGGAAAATGTAAGGTCTCCTTGTGAATTTGCTAATGCTCCTCCTCCCCAGAGCAGAGAGCAAAACTGTATAAGTCAGATTCCACCTGGCTGTGGCTTTACAGTAATTGCTGGAAGAAATGCTTTGTTATACAAAACCTTGTATTTAGTGTTATAATAAAACAATCCAAAATCGAAAGTAAATAGAAAAATTGTCACAGAGGTTTTTATATGATGATTGATCAAGGATTTCACACAGAAAGCTAAGAAATGTATGAAAGGGTGTGTGCAAACAATATACAAAAAAAGTGTGTAGGTTGGAGGTGGAAATATTTTATAAACCTGCTATTTGAACTCTCAGGTTCTTTGGGAAGGTGACCAAATTGAAATGTATGTAATATATTTTAAAGAGTATATATTTTATATAAACTTTTATGTTTTATATAAACTTTGTGACTAAGAGGATACAGGACTTAAATTAAAAACTAGTTTCTGCTACCACTAAGTTGGGTTGCGCCCTAAAGTGTGGTTGGCACCACAGAGTGGTCAGGCAATACAAACAGCACAGGGGATGCCGGACAATGTCAGCCTGTGCTGCGAGAGCCTGTGGGCTGCATTCAAGGGGCGCCTGGTGAAGTTCAGAGGTATTGATAAGGCTTGGATATTGCTGGCATTTAGACAGGTAAAAATATTGTGCCATACTCTGAAAGAGGAACCATAGCTCCCGGGGAGCAGGAGGACCAGCCTGGGGTGAGGAGGGGCAGAAACGGCAGCATCTGTAGTTTGAAGTCGAGCTCTGTATGTATGCAGACAAGGAAAGGCCTGCCTTCTAAGTCAACCCGAGATGCCAGCTGTGGGAGGAACGGATGTGGCCAAAACCCTTCCACGGTGATGTGGCTCAGAAGAAGCAGAGAAAGGGGATTTAAGAAAATGGATTACACCATTCCATTACAATTACAGTTTATAATATCTCAAAATAGAGGATTCGTTAAATAAGCAAGTCTGTGCCACAGACTACACGTGGTCATGAGCGTACAACTGAGCAAATCTTACCCAATAATCAATGCACCAGTGCATTTATCAAATACTGGTCTAGAGCTTTGTGCCCAAAGCAACACAGTGAATAAGGCTGCAGCCTGGTCCTCAGGAGCTCAGCTGTTTCCAAATGTACAGTCCAGTATGTTGAGGAAATTCGCAGCTGAGTGACCAGTCTCCAGTCATCTTGCTGACTAGATGAGTGTGCCCTCCTGGGTTTCAGAGTCTCTGATTACCATATTTATCCATCACTGGCCTTACTGTTTCCGTTGGCCACTCATTCATGCCACAACTCTGGGGAGTGGCCCTTCCCCCGACGGGAAGCGGCACAGCACTGTGGTAGGTCATCTCCGTTCAATGACAGACATAGGGGCTGGGCCAAGATGCATGTGGGGCGTGTGATCCCAGTGGAGCTGCTGCAAGGAAACATTTTCAGGCCTCTGCATCGCTCACCGTGTGTCACCATAAAGTGTGCTTGTGTCTGCGGTAAAGTTAATGTTTGTCTCTGAAATCCTTTAAAGTCTTTGCCTTTGAAGCTACGTTAGAGTTGGTGTCTGTTCAGAACCACTTTTCCTCAGATCTAAAATTATGCGGTCTGTGCCTTGGAACAGTGCCTGAACTCCAGAACTACATTGTAATCGCAGCATAAATAAACCTGCAAGCCAGCCTCAGTGCTGATTCTCGAGATTGAGGGCCTGGTGAGAACTATCTGAGCAGCTTCTGCAGCCTGGGGTAGAATTTTCACAAGAGAAGTAAACTCAGAGAGTGTCAACGCACGCAGCTAGAATGGAGGAGCTCACCTGGCTGTAGACCCCTGCTGAGGCCATGGTGGGTTGCTTCCACTCATCTGATCTGATTGGTGCAGACAGGCAAATGGAGGCTCCACAGCAGCATCTAGGCAGCAGCTGTGCTCTGGGGCAGGTGGCAGCCTCCTGAGTCCATGGGTGCCCCATTCAAGTTTAGAGGATGTTAGCCAGCAGATGGCAACGGGCAGGCTGTCAGGGCCCAACCAAGCAGGCTATGGTTCAGGGCAGGGCTCTAGCTCCTTGGGGAACTGTAGAGCAAATGAGGAACAAAAGCAGATGCCATTGTCAGAGACTGGGCACGTGGTTGCCGTCAGGGGTAATGTGCAGCCCACAGGCAAAAATGGGACCAGTTCTCACCCGGAGCCTCTTGGCCAAGTCAAACACAACAAAGAGACTCAAGTCCCCACGGCTGCTAGGGATGGCTGAAGTATAAAGTGTGCCCTGGCTCCCATTGGCTAAGGGTGGGCAGGCCCATTCTCCAGTGGAATATCTGCAAACTCATGGCAGAGTAGTAGGCGTGGAGGAATCGGGTGCTGACTGACTCTTACAGCAGTCACTGGCTGCATCTGTTTTCAGAATCATGATCTTTTTTTAAATTAAATTTTTATTTTTTTTTAATATTAGTTACAGTTTATTAACTTTGTATCCCAGCTGTAGCTCCCTCCCTCATTCCCTCCCAATCCCATCCTCCCTCCTTCATCTCTTCCCTGCCCCTTTCCAAGTCCACTGATAGGGGAGGCCCTCCTCCCCTTCCATCTGACCCTGGTTTATTAGGTATCATCAGGACTGGCTGCAAAGTCATCCTCTGTGGCCTAGCAAGGCTGCTCCTCCCTTGGGAGGAGCCAGCCATTGAGTTCATGTCAGAAATAGTCCCTGTTCCCCTTACCAGGGTACCCACTTGGATACTGAGCTACCATGGGCTCCATCCGAGCAGGGGTTCTAGGTTATATCCATACATGGTCCTTGGTTGGAGAAACAGTCTCATAAAAGACCCCTGTGCCCAGATATATTTGGTCCTTGTGGAGCTCCTGTCCTCTCCAGGTCATACTAACTCCCCCTTCTTTCATATGATTCCCTGCACTCTGCCGAAGGTTTGGTTATGAGTCTCAAAATCTGCTTTGGTACACTGCTAAGTACAGTCTTTCAGAGGCCCTCTGCGGTAGGCTCCTGTCCTGTTACTTGTTTTATCCTACATCCAATGTTCATCCCATTTGTCTTTCTAAGTGAGGACTGATCATCTTACCCCGGGTCCTCTTTCTTGTTTATCTTCTTTAGGTG